GCGGCCGCGATTTCTGATATTATTTTTCTGCGAAAACTTCGTTGACCTTTGGAGACATCCTTAATATAAATAATTTTTATGGCCGTTAAATAAGAAATGTTTCTTTCACAAGAAATGTATAAAATTACAGTACTGGACAGACGATAGGTCGCCTAACTCGCCGTAGCGTGACGTTAGACGGCGAAAAATATATATTTAATTATAATAAAGTTACAATAAATTAAGTTAATATATAATTATATATACAGTACCTAATTTATATATAATTAATATATAATTATATGTACAGTACCTAATTTATATATAATTATATGAACAGACGATACTAAACTCAATTTATCCGCCTAAACGTCCGTAGCGTGACGCTACGGACGGCTGGAAAGTAGTTTGGCTGCCCAATGACGTTTTACGTATTATAGGAATTATTTTTACCGTTGTTTACGGATACTGCCACAATTTTTATAGGAATCATAACTATAGGAAACGGTCTTATAGGGGAATCTACTGTATTGTTGTAGTTTAAATTTAAAATTTGTTCCAGATTTATGACTATTTACAACGCATATGCGATATTGTCACAACTAAACACTTCTGTTTGACTGAGTGTGCTCTAAACAAAATAAGCATACAACATTGATGTTCTGATACTGAATTAATTACATTAAATTAAATCAATAATCGAAGTGGTAAGGAAAGTGTATTGTCAGAGTGGTATTCCCTTACAACTGAATTATTAAATCAGCATGTGATTGACGGACCATCGAATATCTAATTCTTGTGCTGAATTTCTGACAAATAGTTTAACACAACAATTCGATTGTAAACAAAGAGCAAAAAATGTACTATGAAATTTTTTTTTTCGATTCATATTATTTAAAAGCACAATTCTATATCACGCTAAAATCTAATTAGAATGTAAAAGTTCATACCAAAATGTGACAGAATATCAAGTATTTAACTTTCAAACATTATCTCCTAAAACGAAAATAAATTATTTTATAATCACGTCAACAAATTACTACCATTAATAATTGTGAATTGTTTCGAAATCTTAAATTGCAATAATTGAGGCTAAATGCAATAGATTATAAATGGTTGATCAATGGATCAAATATCTCTTAGATAAATAAACATTTGGCAAATTCGTATGAAGAATTGTTTAAAGTTTTTGAAACGAAAAGTTGATTTAAAAAAATAATAATAATAATCTATATATGATATTATACAGATGCAACATAGTTGATATACTTGCTTTGTGTTCAAATGAATATTTACTATTTACTAAATATTTGGAAATGATATTTAGGTATTTCCTGACACTGCTAATAACGTTACCGTATTTAATGCTTTCGCATCCGGCATCGTTACATTTTTCATCAACAGGTATGATATAACAGAAATCGGATAATGCAATCCTATCAAAAACCGAAACGTAATTTTTTATTTTCAGTTAAGATAAACCTGTATAAAAATATTAATGTCGATAAATCTTCTTCTTCTTGGTGCCATATCAGATTCCTGACGTCGGCGACACCTGGCGTAGGTTTGTAATCCGCCAAGGTGTATACTAGGGAAAGTTACTACCCAGAGTGGTTTCCCGTTGCCTTCTCTGGGGCGCGATGTTACGCGAGGGGAACTAATGCCTTCCGGGAGGACTTTTATGGGGAACTGGCCTCCTATTTAGTCGTTATTGGCAAGGAGAAAACCCGGAAAACTCCAAGCAGCCAGCCTGTCCGATCGCGGCGCGAACCCACGACCGAACTCCCAGTGTTTAGGGTACGAAGACCACTCGGCCACTGGTGGGC